ATCTCCCGGTTTCTAGCCTGGTGCCTTAACCACTACACCAAGCAGGGTCTCTTGTATGTACATGCATGCTTATAATAAATTTTACCACATCAAGTAAGATCCTTCTTGAACAACTGTGTTGGAAACATGACGATCGCCCATTATATTTTCTATTAATGGTGTTTTTAAAAAAAGACTGCAAATAATGGGGAAGAACAAAGTGAAAAACAAGGTTTTGCCATGGGAATAGAGCTAACCTATAAATAAGGAGTGACAGCGATTGGGAAATAGTGCAAAGCAAGACATTTTGTGAGTATCTTCAATACATAGCAGGGATTCTGCTGAGACCATTTTAAACAACAGTGCATCATTTTAGAGAGAATTAAAGAGTTCCTGATTAATCCAGTGTTCATTCCTTAGTTAGATATTTACACATATTTATATATTTCCAGATTCCCCAAAAGACACCAGTTTACAAAATAACCAGTACATGGTATAAAATCCACAAAACTGTCCATCCACCCCAGTGTCTATTAACTGGCAACACTTTTTTGGTTAAAATTAAAAATTACAGTAAAAGCTTGCTTAATCATGTGTTTAACTTTAGGAAGCGGTAAAAGTGCAGAAAGCACTGAAATTTATGAATCACCAGAAATATGTTAAGACTGCCCCAAAGGAATTTTTTTTCACATAATTATCTAATATCTTCCAGCGTTTTCTTTTTCTTTTTAAGTCCAGATAGGCTCTGTTCTGCAGATGTATATTAAAACAATCATAAATTAAGGACTAAGGAAGCTTACAGACCATTATCTATATGGACAATTCTGCTCACATGTTCATCCCTGTTTATATAGACCTAGATTTCTTTTTAGCTGGACAGGGAACTGAACTTCAGCTTGTAAATATCAATGCTATTTTTGGTGCTGATTTTCAGATATAGCTATTGCTTACATTGTGCTGTACAATATATAATATTTATACTGTACAAAATGAGTCCACACTGCTCAGTGGGATAGGTTGGAATCATACACTCACACGAAACATATACATTATTCTTTTATGAAATGTTCCCTTAGTCAAGAGGGAAAAATCAAGTACCCTATTCCTATAGTTTTATACTGATGTTTCTGTTCCTTATTATTCACCGCCCACCCTTTTTTTTCAGTAGCCAAACTGCTCTGTTTGGCTACCAAAAAGGGAGCTTACGTATGAGCAGTTATTACTTTTTAAATGCACTCTCCAGAACATCTTTCATGAATGCACTTACTGAAGACGCAATCCACTGAAAAAGGAAGAAATGGCCCTGAGCTGGAACGATGGAAACCTAAATATAGGTTAAACTTGGTATTTCTCCCCCAAGAAGCCTTCTGTAGCAGAAGGAAATATACTTTTGTGTTAAACTGGAAAGTATCTATCAGAGGAGCTTTAGATACAGGAATACCCAGTTTTACAAATAAAGCAATATGTACAGTTTTTCTGAAACTGTAAATACCGCAGCTTCAGAATAAAGTCCAAGGAGCCTATGTTTCCTTTAAAAAAATAAGGAAAAAGATCCCAATACTCTTTTATCTTGAATGTTAGTTGTTTACCCCATGAAGACATTTTGTCCTGGGAAGCATGTGGCTCTAAGAACTCCACCTGCATTCTGTAGTAACACGTTACTGGATTATGAGTCACTCAAATATTTTCACCTGCATAGATCACTTGTTTAGGTAAAGGGTGAGATGAGATGAGATCCTAATTTCCCCCACCAGCTGACAGATTTTTGTTGCAAATTTTGGAGGAGGTAGGAGTCCAACTTGATATCCACCGAACTGAAGCTATCCCTTGCAACAGAAAACACATGCAAATTCTTTCTGGAGGAAGGCAGAGACAGAATTCACTGCCTAGAAGTTCAGCTGTGGTGTAAAGCCCATGTTCACTCCTTATGTCTGAACAGCACATATATACTGGAGCACATAAATGCTGTACATCTGGGATTAGTAAAATGATCACTGTTAAAATGATTGCACTAGCAGCAGAAAGATGTGGTATTTCTTTCATTGAAGAGATATTCGGAAGTGATCCTAGACAAGGTAACTTCTCTCGGCTTCAACTCCCCATCTGCAAAATAGCTGCATAAAATCTTCATAAATAATCTTTTCAAGGAATACTAAGATATTACATGTAGAGTGCTTTGCATTCTCCAGAGCGTGATCTAAATACTAATTATTGTCATGGGGTTTTTTCTCTCTCTCTTTTCACTGGATCCTTTTGCCCAAATGAGGTTCCCTAGCAAAAGGGGGAGGGGGGGGAAGAAAGAAATGAAGTGACTTTCCATTACTTGCTTGGTTAAAGAATGACTAGTTCTTGCTTTTTTTCTTCTTCTTTTTGTCTCCACATGCTTTTGTTCAGGGTTATTTCATCGTTCCAGAATGCTTGGGACAATCTCCCAGAATGAGTCTAAACTGCAAATCTCATGGCTATGGTATCCAGTTTAACTTTTGAGCTATTATTCTGAATTCTCCTCATCCTTTCCCCCCACTTCACGTGATGAAGAGTTCTGGGCAGTTCCAAATATTGCACATGCCTTTGTGTCATTTTGGTTGGTCCTGATAAAGGACATCATAGATGTCATTAGGACCCAGTCTTATCCATTTGAGGATAGAGGCTACAGCAGAAACCTTATTATGTTGGTAGAATGCAAGATTGTCCACTTGCAAAACATCACAGTGAAACCCTTTGCCAGCACAATCGTTTCTCCAGATTAGGCCTTCCATCAGGATATCCAAAGTGTGGGTGGAGGCACCAGCCCAATAGAGGAGCCAATTTTCACTGCATCTTATATTTCTCCAAACCATGATCCCATCGAAAATACACTTTCACAGCAGCCTCAGATTCCATGTGCCCATGGCCATTTAGTCCATTTTCTCCATAATAGAACATAGAGAACATAGGCTATAGGACAAAGGAGCAGCCAATGAAAGCACACAAGCTTCAGTATATAAATCTCATTGAGGAAGGTCCTGCTGTCACCTTTTTGAACTCAGATCATGAGTCTGGCCCGAGGAAGCTCTCTTTGTAACCGGGTGTCAGGGTTGAGCTTCTGATAAGGGTAAGACAGAAGCTATCCAGTATTCAAGATCCCTGAGCTAGTTGAGCCAAAGTACAATCAGGAAGCAGAATCAAGAAATCAGAATGCAAGGATATGAGTAGATACTCAAATTCAAAGAGTCTTTGCCCAGGCAAGGCTCAACTGGATGAGAAAAATTTATACATTTTTGCTGCCTCAAGGGTCCTTCTGCCAATCCTGATGAGAAGGATCAATCCAAAATGTGAAGGTACTCTGAGGAGAGCCTACTGTCTGAACATCAGGGGTTCACCACAGAGGGAAGCTGCATCCAGAGACAACATAACTGATTTAAGCGCTGATTGTGACAGTAGCAAGTGTCCTTTTGGTAATCCTCCACTTCTCTCACTACAGGATAAGCACAGCAGCCATCTTCTTCCTTCAGATGCCACATCTTGAGTCTGAAATCACAGCTATGGCCAGCAACACCAGACCAGCTAAACTAGCTGGCTGAAGCTTCTTACAGGATGAGACAAGCTCCACCTCTACAGGATAATGATCACTGACCTCTAAGGCCTGGAACAGTGAGGAGAGAAAGAAAAGGATCAGAAGTGGACATTTTCCTATTTCCTGCTCTGAACACAAGGGGGGAAATGCCTTCATCACAAATTCTAACGCTTTAGCCCAACCTTTCCTAAGCCAGTGCCCTTCAGAGCTGTGGGACTATAGCTTCCATCATCCCAAATCATTGAGAAAGGTCTTGCAGCTAGAACTTAAAATTGCTTAATAAACATGGAGCACTGAACTTTACAGATCTCAGATACTTCAGTACTTCTTTGATGGAAAAGAAGAAAATATGAGAGAAGAGGCAGTTAAAATAATCTCTCAAACATTAGATGACTTAGACAGAGGGAGTCACTTAATATATCTTGATGTTTTATAGAAATGGTGTTCAGGGATTGGTTTTCCAGTCCTCTGGTGAATTCTAGCCTATGATTTTAGCATCCTGTTTAAATATCTTTCTCCTATCATAGTATAGAGAACTAGTGGCTAACGTAAAAAATTATTGGATCAAACCTGACATTGGTTCCCACAATACAAAAAGCCACATGGTGATCTTTACCTTGATTTAGGGGATAAAAGGTTTATATAACAAACTAAGCCAAAACCTAATTGGCCACACTGTGGTTTAATGCGTTGCCATTATGCCCTTTTCTCTACTAAATTGATCTCTTAAAGCATCATAAATTGTTTCTGAGCACCATTCATTTCTTATGAGGAAAGCCTTAAGTGGTTTCAGGCCAACGTATCTGAAAAATTACATTTCATATGATTTTCCTGCCTCTTGTGTTGAGGATTGACAGCCCAGAGTCATTGAGAGTTGGGCAGCATACAAGTTTAATATATTATTGTTGGTCACACAGTCAACCAGATGATTAGACTGGATTTGGCATTTTTATCTATCAAATCCTTCCCAAGGACCTGGGATAGGTAGATGTTGTTGTTTGATGGTGTCACATGAAGTAAGCTGTTCCAAGTAAAGCTTTCTTTTGCAATTGACTGATGGTGATTTTGTCAATGCCAATGGTGTTTAAGTGGTGCTCCAGATGTTTTGGGATTACACCCAAGGCACCTATAATTATTGGTACTATCTTTGCTTTCTTTTGCCACAGTTGTTCTATTTCTATTTGCAGGTCTTCGTATTTTGTG